GGGTGAGGTTTGGACCTGAATTGAGGGGATCGGTTGCTGCTAGATGGGAGGTAGCCTTGTGTCAGACCCCCTGAGCACCCGGTGGGGACACAGGTGCCTGCCTCCCCACCAACATTTGCGGTTCTTAGAACCCCCAGGAGCCCTGTGATTTGAGAGGCCCACTGTAGCCCCTGGGGCTGGGTGGAAGGAAAGGGTGGGCTTTGGGGCAGGAGTTTCAGACAGGAGGTCTCCCCCAAGTTCTAAATCAGATGCTCCCCAGCTCACCAGGCATCCCTCCCCCACTCCAGCCAGCCTCTACCCCAGAACTTCACAGTCTGAGAAAGTTAATCTGATGCAATAGCAGTTTTCTGTTTAGAGAATCGTTTTTCTAAAACAAATCTGGCAGGCGTTGAAGACATAATAGGAAAAATTAGAATTTGGCTCCTTCTGTTCAACCATGAAAACACCTGTTTCCCAACCACACACGAAGGAGATGGGCCTGAAGTGAGGCTGAGGGGCTGAGTCCCATGGCTGGGGTGGCTGGGACCCATGAGAGACGGCTGAGGGGATGTTGTCCAGCCCACTGCCACTCCAGTTGCAGGAGGACAGGAGGGGGGGCAAAGGAAGCAGCAGAGGTTCGGCCAGTAAGTCCTGGGGGTCCGGCAGGGGGCTGCTTATCCCTTCTCTGGCTTGTCCTAGAAACTGCCCTTGCCCACAGCCAGTGCGTCCATTCAAGTTGTTTTGTGTGTGTGTTTTAAGTGTATCTTTATTGATTTCAGAGAGAGGAAAGGAGTGGGGGAGAGAGAGAGAGAAACATCAATGATGAGAGAGTCATCGATCAAGCCTGCAACCCGGGCATGTGCCCTGACCGGGAATCGAACCCCGATCGCCTGGATCCTAGGTCGATGCTCAACTGCTGAGCCACGCCCGGCCGGGCAATTCAAGTTTTTTGTTGTTAATGAGAGTGGAAGGGAGGGAGGATACAAGAGAGAGGAAAGTCAATTGGTTGCCTCTTGCATGAGCCCCGACCAGGGCTGGCATCAGATCTGCAACCCAGGTACATGCCCTTGACCAGGAGTCGAACCTGCAACCCCTTGGTCCACGGGCTGATGCTCTAACCACTGAGCAAATTGGCCGGGGCTCCACCCAAGTCTTAACGGAGGTTTCCCACCTGTGCGGCCTGTCAGTTCAGCTCTGTGCCCCATGAGAGTGTTGCCTGAGCTGGAAGCCCCCTCTCAGGGAGGTTTTGGAGCCAGAGCCTCAGGTCCCTGGCTGAGAAAATGGCAGGTACATCAGAACTGGTACCTGCCGGCCTTCCCTCACCGGAGATGCCTCTGGCACTCTCTTTCTTTGTGGGGAGGAGTAACACCTGATAAATAGAGCCAGTTCTGAGCACTGATTATTTTTGTTTTCACCTGTGTGTGTGTACAAGGTTTGTATTGTGAGCATAACATGCGAAGGTGTCCATACCGCACTCCCCACCCCAAAATAAAAAAACTAAACTAAAAAACACAGCAGTGTTAGGAGCCTGGATGAAAAACTTGAGTCTCCTTAGGCTGGTCTCTGCAGTTTTGTGTCATTGGATGTTGATGCCAAGGGCCCGCAGTGATTCCCACTTGGTTGAGATGTAAACAAACATTTAAATGAGCCCTGTGTCTCCTTTGAGCAGCCCCATTTGCCCAGGCCGGCCTGCGGGCTGCCCGCCCACTCTCTTGTCAGCCGTGGTCTTTCGGGCAGTGGTACTTGGTTGAAACAACCAGGAGGCCCACCTAACCCTCCCCTACTCTCCTCATTTGCAGGCACCTGAAGGAGATCTCAGAGCTGCAGAGCCAGCAGAAGCAAGAGATTGAAGCCCTGTACCGCCGCCTGGGCAAGACGCTGCCCCCCAACCTGGGGCTGTGGCACACGGCACCCCCCACTGGCCGCCGGAGGAAGACCAGCAGGAGCAAGCTGAAGGCTGGGAGGCTGCTGACCCCGCTGGTGCAGCAGCTCAAGGTCGTGGCCTCCAGCACAGGTCGGCCCTGTGCCCTCCTGGCTGCCCTCACGGGGGCTGGGCTATAGCTGGGCAGACGGAAGGCAGACACCCACACCTGGAAGAGCGCTTCTTGGCTCTCCTTTCATGGGAGCGGGGAAGCTGTTGCAGCTATGGAGGGCTGGGGCTCTGCCCCTGTGCTGTGGCAGGAGGAAAGGACCGCGAGTGGGCAGGTCTCCTGGAAGCCCTCAGCCACCTGTGAACTGTAGTGTGTGGAGGAGGGGTCTCGGGGCCTCCAGAGCTGGGGGCTGCTCCTCCCCACCTGCTGCTTCCTGCAGGATGCTGCCTGGGACAGGGCCATTTCCTCTTAGACATATGCCACCTGCTGACCATGGGGACTGAGCAACTGCCTTGGGGGAGGGGAAGAGTGGTGAGGACCCCAGCCCTTATCCATGACCCCGGGGCACTGAGGGTGCACACTGACCCCAAGCCCCTGCACTCGGGGATGGAGACCCAGTGAGTTGAAATCCTCAGTTGCACCAGGCAGGAAGCCAATGGTAAGCTGACCACAAGCCCTCCCTCTTGGTGTCTCATATAACCTGCAGGGCGCAGGTCCATGATTGCAAGAATTACGCAGGTTCAATGCCAATTCCTAAAGCTGACGGGAGATTAGTCAGAGTGGGGAGGAGGCTTACAGGCTGTGCTGGGCCCCGGTGCGCATCTCCAGAGGGGCCATGACCCTTCCCCTGCATTGTCGACTGGTGGAGACTGGTCGTTTTCTTTAATCTTCCCGACACTCCCACGTGGGTATCCCAGCCACGTGCCCATTACCTGCAGGGACTCGGCTTCTCCAAGGTCACCCAGCAAAGAGCAGAGAGGACAGATGCACGCTGCACTGGCTGGTCTGCCCTGCGGCACCTTACAGTGCCTCTACTCGCTTCTTCTCACCCAGGTCATTTGTCAGACTGCAACAGAGCCCCTCCTGCTAAGGACCCCACCAAAACCGGGGTGGGGCCTGCAGCAGCAGCATCAGACTCCTGTGGGAAGGCAGTTCAGACCCAGCAGCCTTGCTCCGTGCGGGCCTCCTTGTCTGCAGACATCTGCTCGGGCTTAGCCAGTGACGGAGGCGGAGCACGTGGCCCAGGTGATTCCCAGCTTGCCCTTTCTGAGCATGTGCTAGCCACGTAGGGCCTGTGTGGTATAGAGGGGTTGTGAGCTGTGGCCAAGGCTGCCAACAACTTCTTAAAGAAGTGATCGTAGAGGCAGCCTTTGAATGAAAAGAGTGGATGGCCCACCCATCACAGAGTCTTGCTGTAAGTGGCTCAGAGGGAAGCCTGCTTGGCTAGAGAAACTTGGGGAAGATACCGGGACCACTGAGAGGTCAGACGCGGTGTCTGCTGTTGATCTGTGCTGGGTGCCAGGCACTGGCCCGCCCTGCCCCTTCCCTGCTAAGCACGGGTCCGGAAGGACTGCTGGGGGACCAGGGCTCAGCTCCTGAGCTGGGAGCTTGGCCTTGAGGAGGGACTGCCGTGGGCACAGCAGCTGTATGACAGGGTGCTTCACCCGCGCCGTCTCTGTCCAGAGACATGGTGACTGCTGCCACGGCCGGTCCCCGCCCTGCCCCGCACGCTCTCCTGGGTCTGCCTCTCTTCCACTCCAATGCTTCCTCCTTTACATTATGTGGCCAGTGGCTGTGTCCTCTGGGCTGGGCTGGGTGCAGCCGTGGATGCTAAGTGACGAGGCTGATGTGGCTGGTGGTGTAGGAGGAGGCCGGAGACTGTACTTGATGCCTGTCTCTTTGTTTTCTTCCCTCTATATTCATTTGCAGGCTGGACGGTTTACCACCCAACGTCTGAGAGAGTGACCCATAAGTCTAGTAGCAAACCTCGCGCTCGATTCCTCAGTGGACCCGTGTCTGTGTCCATCTGTCTGTATTTGTTCTTTTGTATTTTATCACTTCCTGGCCCTTGGTTTCTCCCCACCCTCTCCCTGTTTTCATTACCTTTCATACATTTTATAGGATGCCTCCCCTATGCCATTGACCTCAGTTATTTAATATGGAAAATGGGGCCCGTCCACACCCACCCTTCTGGCCCCAGAAAGCACCCATGCATGCTCTCAACTCCTGCCCCGCACCTATAGCATGTGCAGTGGCCTGCCCACGCCCAGCCTCAGCGCTCCGCCCCGGTCCCCAAGGTGTTCTGCACTTCTCTTGTCACTTTTTTTTTAAACGTTGGACGTACTTTTATTTCTGTTGCAATTGTGACAAATACACACGTCCACTGTCCCCAGTTCCAGCAACAACAAAAAGACAGCCCCGGCCTCTACATGCATGATGTGTTCCACATGCGCCTGGACTTTGAAGACACGCATGTAGTGACCGAGACAGGGCTAGATCACTACAGGGTACAGCTTCTGTACAAGGGCACGTCACAACATCTAGTCCTGT